GCCGCGTGGGGCGGCGGGACACGGGTGGGGGGGGGCAGGGGCGGCCCCGCAGGGACACGCGGGGACACGGGCAGCGGGGCCGCGCCCGCACGTGCAGGCACAGGCGCACACAGGGAACAGCCGGAGGCGGGAACAGGCGGACACACGGACACACAGGGGCGAACACGTGTGGGAGCGCACAGGCAGCGCCGCACACCCGCGCGCTCACGCACACACACGCGCGCGCGCGGAACGGACACGTGTGCGCACACACGTGTGGCCTCGCAGCGGCACACGCACAGTCTCACACGCGCACAGTCACACACACTTGCACAGGCACACACGCAGTCTCTCTCACACACACACACCCCCACAGTGTCCCTCACAGTCACACTCAGCCCCTCTCATACACGTTCACCCACATGGTCTCTCTCACAGTCACACAGTCATAAACACAGTTGCACACACAGTCACACTCATACTAACACACAAAGTCACACACACACACACACAGAGTCACGCACACAGTCACACACACAGTCTCACATGCACATACACACATACACAATCACACACAGAGCCCTGCAGTTGCAGTCACACACAGTCTCAAACAGTCACACACACACAGTCACAGTCATGCACAGTCTCACACAGTCACAGTCACCCTCAGTCACACACTTGCACAGTCTCACACATATTCACACTCATAGTCACACGCACACACACCTGTCACACATAGTGACAGTCACATAGTCACACACACACAGAGCCACACGTACAGTCACACACACACAGTCATGCAGTCACAGTCTCACATGCACATACAGTTGCACAGTCACACACAGGGCCCCGCAGTCGCAGTCACGCAGTCTCTCACAGTCACAATCACATAGTTACACACATGCACACAGTCACAAGCACACAGTCACACGTACAGTCACAGTCTCACAGCCACACACACACAGTCACACGCACAGCCACACGTGCAGTCACAGTCTCAGTCACAGTCTCAGTGACAGTCACACTCCTACAGTCACACAGTCACACTCCTAGTCTCAGTGACACTCACACTCCTACAGTCACACTCAGTCACACTCCTACAGTCACACAGTCACACTCCTACAGTCTCAGTGACACTCACACTCCTACAGTCACACACAGTCACACTCCTACAGTCACACTCAGTCACACACACACAGTCCCCCCCCGCCCCCGCCGCGC